CGGGTGTCATTTTTTTGCCGCCCTTATTTTCCTGGAGCGAAACGAGTACTTCTATTTTGTATACTCAAATAACAACCTGCATTTATTCGAAATTCCCTAAACAAATGAAATATTAAACGTGAATACATTTCGGTGTTTAAATGTTTGTCCAAACTCAAATGTGGAATATCCCGTCAACGGGCTGACGGCAATCGAAAATTTAAACGCCCAAACGAATTTAAACAAAAGAGGTACTCTCGGTCTGTTTGCGGAATGTTAAATAAATCCCCGGAAAAAGGACGAAAAAAAAACGACACGAATGTAACGAATTAAAAGCGTTTGTTTCAGAAATTGTCCACGTAAAAAAAAAAAAAATAAAAAAAAATACAATAGTTTCGACGAAAAGTCAATACTTAATCGGATTATCGAACGTACAGCCGCTGTATACCTATTTATCGTATACGAAACACTAAACTTTCGAATAATATAATTATTATTAAAAACATACGGTTTATATGGACACCGGGCCGTCGTGGAACTGACCTGGCAATGAGAAAGCTGACAGAACAGCTCGAGAAGCAACAAATAACCCTATTACGGAAATACGCACCCACTCCTCGGTTATCGACATCATAATACTGGCCTAAACCCTATTCGATTAAACCGCAAACATCAAGTAATCGACTACGTATAGATCACACTAAGATGTCCCATGGGCATCTTATGCGGGGAGAGAAGAACCGCCACTGTGCCGAACCTGTGAAGAACCCGTCACAATAAAACACCAGCTCGCGAAATCACGTGGAAACCAGAAGCGCGCTAGGAATTCCAGACGACCTTTTCGAAGCCCAAAGCCCAATTGAAGACACCGGCGAAAAAATTATTTTATTTCTTAAATGTATTCACACGCGTATAACTCTGTCCAGAAAATTCAATGTACTCATTTGCATGTCGTAAGCTAATAATTATCTTATTTGTTGATGCTGTATCGATAATAAAAAAAAAAAAATTATTATTGTTTAGGCAAACGAAATATTACTATCGTATTCGATATAATATTAATGACAGTTGTTTTTTGTTGACCGCCAACGCGAGTACTCGGCGGCGGCGTTGGTCGGAAATAAATTGAAAACAATTTTGTTTGTATTTTTTTTGGTTTTATTATTATTTTTTTTTTTTTCATTCGTTCTCCGCACCCTCTCCCACACAGAACGTCCGCGCGCGACTGCTGCGAGACGAAAATAAACCCCGTCGGCCAAACATGCGTCCGGGATAATAATCATAATTATTAAACATAGAATAAAAAAAAAAAAGTACCTATACGTATATATAATACAGGGTGGCCCACCGCGTCCGGTAAATTTTTCTAGAACTGTTAATGTTCGATTTTTTTTTTTTTTTTTTAATAAATCTTTTCCAATTTGCTTTTCATAAGGACGTATGTTTAGAGAAAAATTGAATTTGTATTTTCGTCTCATAATTTCTAAAAAAAAAAAAAAAAAAACCTTTTTATTTATTCAATTTACGAAAAATGTGTTATTCAAAATATTGCTAGTCCTCTTTGGTTTCTCGACAAAAAGCGCGAAAAACGAAACTACCGCAGTACCGAATCGCGGTTATAGATAGGCAATTTACTACCCTTCCCTTTTCATCCGGTCTAAACTTTAAACTGTTATACCACATAAACGGTAAACCTGATATCAATGTTTTGCATATCAAAATGTCTAGCAAAAATGTACTCTATTCAAATCTGCATTTTAAGAGGGTGGATGGGAGTTCCTATTTGAAAATCGAAAGTATGTACTCATTTAGGGTATATGGAATAGGGATGAACAATTGAAAACGGTTTTAAACCATTGCTTAAACGATTTCATAATGATCAGAAAAAACATAAGTCAAACTCACTTAAATACTCTCCAAAAAAATTGCTAATTGATGATAAAAAACTTAACAAATCTAAAACGGTGTTACGAATAATCTATAACCTACGGTGACCAACGAGAATATGACGTCTGCGCGCATCATATAAAGTCGCGTTTGTGCGACGGACTAAAAGCTTTTTGATGTTGGATTTGAACTAGGAGTATTTCGTACCGTTTCTCCTAGAATCCACTGTACATTCCGTTTATTTCGGTGGTGGAGGGGGGAGGGAACAAAAAAAAAAAAATATGCGCTCATTTAACGGCTCTCGGATAATCCGTCGGACACGGCTGTGGGACACCCTGTACAAAAATAACGCCCCGCGCGTCGGTAAAGGTCGGTGAAACGGCGGCGGCGATCGGCGCGGCTGTGCAACGTTATTATTATTTATACGCGGATCCTCCGCGCGCATTGCGTATAGCCTTTTAATATACACACGCCACCGTCAGCGCCGAACGCTGCAAACGACAAGCGCGGGACAGGGACAGGGCCGTCCGGGCGCGCGGGCTAATAACGACGGGAAACGCTTTTTCAGAAATACGATTCGCCCCGCGGCGGCGTTTTCAAAACGTTACAGCGAAAAACCGGACGTGTTTCTGTTCGCGATATTCTCGTTATTGTTATTATTATTTTTTTTTATTTTCATCGACCACCGACGGAAATCCCGCGTCTTTCGAGGCGTGTGTAGTGTCGGAGCGTTTTCAGTTTTCTACTAATCGAAAAACGTTTCTCGGGGCGGGGAAAAAACACGCCTATTTTTTTATTTATAAAAAAAAAAAATAAACAGTCGCTGGCTATTGTAACGTCCGCGATTCGACCGTGTACACGCTTGTTTTTCGTGCGCGGGAAAAACTGTTCGGTCCACGTAGACCCAATACGGAATCGGATCGTCGTGGCCGCGCAACGGAATTCGTCAAAAACACGTACACGGTTATTCGAGAGCGGAATTCCGGAATACGGCTCGCAGCCTCGGCGACTAGATTCGAAACGCGACCAAAACACCTTCACTGACCACCGGAATGTCTCCGAGAGAAAACGCCTATCGCGCGCGTACAAATTCAAAAACAACGGGACGCGGGTGTCCGGCGCGGATCTCGAGTATTATTTACGGTTGTTTTTTTTTTTTTTTTAACACGGTTGCAACGAAAACGGAATCGAAAACCGGGAAAATCCGCGTTTCCGTAAACGCCGCTGTGCCGCGCGGGAAAATCCGACGGCTTCGCGGTTTTCGAACTCGGGGTCGACGTTCTTCGCGTTAGCGATTTTCAAAAGAAAAAAAACCTAACGCCCGGCGTCGCGCACGGCGGCGGCGGCTCCTGTTTTCGCCGTGGTTTCCCTCTCGGCGGCGGACGTTCGATCGGTTTTTTCTGGTTTTTTTTTTTCAAACTGCGATACCGGCGCCCGGGCACGGTTCCCGCCACGCGCGCTCTGCGATCGCGGCGATACGCGCGACAACGATGCGGGAGTGGACCCGGGGCATTTTCCGTGCCGACGGCGTTCCGTTATCGCTGGGAATTCCGCGGAAACCGCACGAGCGCCGGCCGTTCGGCCGCGCCGCGTCCTCTCGATGCGAAATAACATTTTCGCGTACGGAAAAAAAAAAAAAAAATAAAGAACACGCGCGCGCTAAAACAATGGCGAACGACGCGACCGTCGGCGTGGAAACCGGAGCCGTTATAAACGCCGCCGCCGTCCGCCCCGATCGGCGTTATTATTTTTCTTTTGTATTATTTTCGTTTTCCCTCTATTTTCTCTGTGTACCGGAGAAAAACCGTTCGGCCCGTTTTCGTAAAACATTCGGTCACGAGACGAGTGCACGCGCGGCGCGTGCACGACGACTGTAATTACGCGTATTCTTTTTTTCTTTTTTTTTTTTTTTCATACGCATAGGGGTATTTACGATCCCGTCCCGTGTATCCCGCCTCCCGCGGAGTCTCCCCGATCGCGTGCATCGCGTTTCGTATACTCGTACGCTGTTAGATTATCGAGGCACCGGATTCGTATGCGTTTCGAGGATGGGTAAGCGGTGATTGCGTTCTTTGTTGATTCCGTCAAAATATTCTCGATATTTAGAAAAAAAAAAAAAAATACATTACTTCGTGTACAGATCGATGATAAAACGCTGGACGAAACGAATAAATACCGTGCCTATACCCGCAGACGGTATTCGTGAACATTTACAGAAATATATTCGATCGATTTTAACCGTTGAAAGTATTAAAAATGTTCACGAAATGTTTGTAAAAAAAAAAGTTGTTCTGTCAATTCGTCTGTTCGCGCTATTGATCAAAACATTCTATTATTTTATTATTATTATTATTATTATTGATTTCTCGTTTCCTCGGTTACTGTGTACGAAGAGCCTTCGCTCGCCGTCCGTTAGCGAAGATGAACACTTCTCGATGCGTAATTTCACCGTTTTAATTAGAATTGTGTTTACGTTCTAAAACGCATGGCGAATAATCTATTATAATTTTACCGAGATACGTTTTTTTTCCTCGGTAAACCCTTTTTTGGTCAGTGAAATCGCTCCAAATTATCCGCACCGTATACCTTAAACTATTAATAATATTTTTTTTGCCCCGCGGTACTTCATTTAAATAATTTGTCTAGATTTTCGACGGATACAAAGAAATTTAATAAACCGACAAAATTCGACGGAGCGTTGACTTAATTTTTGCGGATTCCCGGGGTTGTTTTTGCTACAAAAAAAAAAAAAACGCGGCCAATAAACCTTACCCGTTTACCGGGCTCGGCTACTCAGAATCGTTTTTCCTCTCCCCCGTCGCGACGATTTATCGTCGGTTTCAGTGCTGTATAAACTAAATCGTCGTATATTATATATCCCATACACTTTTAACTTCGCGTCTGCAACAGCGCCAAACTATCCGCGGTGCCGAACGTGCCCCGCTCACTTAAATGCAAATACGAAATATTCACAAAACAACTCCGCGCGTTTAGTTGAAAACAAAAATGAAACACGCGATATTAAACATTAATATTATTACGGAACACTGTTTTGAATTTAGACGTAAAAACGCAATAAAAACGAATAAAAATCCAAGCCGTCCAACCCCGGCGTGGTTATCGCTACTCGGTTATCATTCTGACGCAACACCGAAATCGATGCCGGAAATCGGCCCGATCTCGACATCCGGCCTCGAATCTCTTCCATCCCCGTAGTGAGCGCCTGCTCCGCCGCAGTAAAGTCGTCTGCGCGCGGAGTGCCGCGGACATTCCGCGCACCGTCGATACCGCGTCGCGTCAAGTGCACGCTGCGGCGGTGTTGGCGTTGATTCCGACAGAACGTCCAGTAGGGTCGCGTCGCGCCGCGCATTGAACAACGTTTTTTTTTTTTGTAAATCGTTTTGAAACATCGCCGGCAATGCCGTGCGAGAAACGTCGCGGGAAGTGCTGCGGGAGAACGAACACGCGCGTAACGGGCGCGGGTGTACGGGAAACGTAACGGTAACGTACGACACGCAGAACGACAAATTACCCCGTTCCTCGAGTTCCGGCCCGCGCCCCCGCCGTTCGCCGCGGCGCCCCGCGCGCTCGGAACGCACGGTGTCCGCGCGGCGCGGGTTGCCGCGCGCGCTCGACGGCGACACCGCGATAACGGCGGCGGCCCGCGTACACCGACGCCCCGCCGCGTAATGCGCCGACTTCGCGCGCGCCCCGCCGCCGTCCGCGCGCCGCAGTCGGTTTGCGTATCGACACTCGGCGACTCGCGGACCGTTTCCGGTCCGATAACGGCCGACGGCCCCGAAAACGGCTGGCGGCGACGTGATTTCGGCGCGCGTCTACAGCACATCGAGAAAGTTTCCTCGGCGCGTGTGGGGGCCCGGTCACCGCGATATGCGCGAACTAATTAACAAGTCGGATTAACGCGCCGTGCGAACCGTCGTGTACGGAGGGCGCCGGCGCCGCCGAAACACGGTGCGTCTTTCGAAAGCCCCAATCGAACGGCGGTTCCGTCGTGTCCGCCCGGTGGACAGGCAGACCTGGTCGCGCGCGTATTTGCGTACGCGCGCGCGGAACGCGACGCGAACGCGCCGTCGTCGGTTCGGACGGGATCGCGCGGCGCACGGTCTCGTGTTGAAGATCGAATTATTAATAAAAAAAACCGCCGAACCGCTCCGGCGGCTAATTAATGTGTTGGGATAATAGAGGCGTGGAGACAGTGATATAACAGTACGGTCTTCTGGTCGGCGAGGGCCAAACGTATGTTATCGTCCGTACCGCCGCCGGCCGCGTAACCCGCGGTAATAGACGAAATTAAATAAACTGCACGTTATCGTGAAAAACGCCTCGAAATCCCCTACACAATTCACGGGATCGAGAACGGGACGTCGGGGACTATCGTGTGTACGGTAAGTTGGATAAAAAATCACGCGCGTTAAACATCGTCTTTTATTCTTTCGAAATCGGCCGAGTGGTTACAGAGCCCGTTGAACCCAAACTCGTGATCGACACGTTTCCCGCAACGTATAAACGCGTTACGCCCGGACATCGTTTTTCCGCTTTCCGTGGTCCGGTCGACTGGAAAAAAACACGGGGGAAATTGTCAGCGTACAGGATACAATCGTTATGCATGTCGTCGGTTTTCGGACGTGCATTTTTGGGACATTCGAAAAAGGGGGGAAAACGCCGTTAAAGCCTTGTCCGCTAGGTCCGTCGAGTTACACGCTCGGAATCGTTTTTCGACCGCTTTCGGTGTACAAGCCAAACGTTGCACTTGAAAAATATTTTGAAACTCCCCTCCCCCGCCCACCGTCGGAACGCACTTAAACCCGATAGTAATGTCGGTATAAAATCAGTTTGCCGAATTATAAATCGATATATATATATTATTGTTATTAAAATTATTGTCGTTCGGAGAAACAAGTGTTCGCGGTAACCGGGGGGCAGGGGAAGCCGAAAAGATTCTCGTGTTTATTACTTCGGGCGCGTCGAAACGGCACTTTAACACGGATGATTGATTGGTGGAACGCGGTGTTGCAGTAATATTTTTACGAAAGTGTACGAAAAAAAAGTCGTCCGTTCGTCAGTTTGTCGGTCGTTTTTTTTTTTTTCTACGCTCTCTCGTCAAACGCCCGCGCATCAACTCGTTATGCACTTGTGATGACGGGGGAGGGGAGGGGTCTTTATAATCCGACCGGTCTCTGTCGTCGGCGATACGCGGGGCCGCCGTCGCCGCCGCCGAGGGGCGGGAAAATAAATTTTCGAAAACTTATAATTACTGTCGGCGGCACAGAGACGACGAGAGCTATACGGTGGGCAGTATTTGTGTAGTATTATTTATCGTGCACCGGCGCGGTTGTCGCAGCGGCGGTGAGGAGGTAGGTAGGTGGGGACGGGCAGTTGCACGTCCGTTTCTATCGTTCTCGTTTTCCCGCACACCGCAGCCAACGGCCGTGTCATAATGGCACTTTTAAAAGTGAAGTGCCGTTCGAGTGGCGGCGGCGTTTTCCCAAGTCCCACGGCGACGTCGTCGGTGTCGTCCGGCGCGCCGCCGTTTTTCGCTCCATCGGCCGGGGCGAAACTCGGCGGCGGCGGCGGCGGCGGCGGCGGCGGAGGTTATTCCGACTCGGCGTATATTATATCGCTGATTGCGCTCGCCCGCCCGGCCGACGACTCGCGCACCGGTAAAACGTTAACGTCAACCGTTTCTCCCGCGGGTGTGCGACGTGCGTCTATACAACGGTTCCCGCGTCCCGTGCAATACCATACCGCCGCCGCCGCCGCCGCCGTTACCGCGTCCTCTCGACCCGCCCCGGACAGTGCTGCACACGGAGGATTTGTCAATCCCGCCGGGCACCCTCCTCTTGAACGACTCGCCTCGGCTAATTATATACGTCGCGACGACGTGCGGGCGGCGCGGGGTCGTCGTACGGGTTCGAGTGGTTCCGTGTCGGCCCGGCCCCCGCTTGTCTTCGTCTCTCGCGCGCGGCTCCCCTAGTAATACTATCGCCTTCTGTTCCCCGCGTCTTTCCCATTGTCTCTTCCCGGTAATACGCGTGCTCGCGCGCGCGCGTGCGTGTATATATATATATATTTGTATATATATATATATATTTATACGCGCTTATATACTAAATCCCCGGGGACGCGTTTGTGTAAAAAAAAAAATTTATATTTATACATCGCGTCATAACATACGATGCCGAGTCGCGACTCCCCTATAAATGTTTACAAGCTTATTATTATTACTCCGATAATTTATTACCCCGCGGAGTTATTGCTCTCGTCGTCTCGCGTTTAATATAAAACAACAATTGTACCCCGGAACTGCTGCGCATCACGGAAGAAAACGTGTGAAAAATCAAATTTATTTTCATCGCTCGGAATTCCATACAACGTTACTCGGGCGTACTCAAAACTTCCGTTCTTCCGGAGACGAATCCGCTGGGCGCTTTTGATTTTCAAATGCCGACTCGTATTCGGAATTCCATAAACAGACGGTGTTTCGGTTTAAACCGAAATTCAGATACCGCGTTATTTTTAATTTCCGAAACATATTCCATTTTGAAATTTGCGCAGGAGGAGGGCTAACTGAGCGTGGCTAACGCGGCGGCCATTGTACAGCGCTCCACTATCCGCCGGCCGAACGGCAAACTTTCGTGTTGACGCAATATTTATTTACCAGAAATCTCTACTTTCGGTGAGGTTTGGTTAGGTCAGTTCTAAATAAATCGGGAAAAAAACGAGGAAAACGGGAAAAATACACGAAATGTACCCGTGCGTATTGGTTGAAAAATATTACGGCTTTCTTTGTTCTCGTGAACGAATTTTCTACTAGCGATCTTGCTCCGGTTTACAAGTGTAACAATTTTTCCGAAAGTCAATCTGACCGTGGGGAATCTTTAAATAGGTCAGGTTTTGATTTACCCGAGGGTTTTCCCGGTAAACGGGAAAACCGGGGAAAAACGCGGTAAAAAATCTAGGAAAACAGGGAAATGGATGCAATGTTAGGTAAAAAACATTATTAAAGAAAATGTTTAGTGCATATGTAATTATGTTATCATAATATAACATATATATTATTAAATAGATACGATATTAAACAAATATTATTTGAGAAAACGCGAAATTGTATGTATGACATATTGACATATATTGTTGACAGCGCGACACTATATCGACAGAACTCCGTTCAGAGTCGTTTTTTTCGTTTGCAATGGTTTATCGTTGCGTACAGATACATATTAAATTACCGTCTACATCCTATCTTCCCAACTTTCCGTCTACAACAGTGGCTGCGACTATTCCCATTCTCCATGGGCAGCTTTTTTTTTTTTTTTTGGTTATAATATTACGCGGACAAAAATGTTCGGCCATTTTAAAAATTCTCGAAATTTAGCTAGGAATTCGGGCGTTTTTTTTTTTTTTTACCTACTACGATAACGTTAATTTATAATCAGCCGTCTGTCTAGCCATAGGTTAACACGTAGTTTCGTGCTGGTTTTTTTTTTTATAATTTGTTTGTTTACAAAACCTTGTTATACATTACACAGCAAAACGATTTTAATTAATATGAATGTCTGGTTTTCTTGTTGTTATTTGCATTTTTATGCGCAACGCGTAAACCGTATTTCACGTGACGAAGTTTTCATATCCAATTGTGTAGTGTCAACACATTTTACGTATTTTTTTTCACGCGACAGTTTGCAGAAAACACACCTCGACTGAAAATTATCGTCGTATAGCATTGACGAGTATATGAAAGGGAAAAAAAATGAAAAATCGCATCAAGTATAAACGACGATGAGCACTTTTTAAAGAAAATAATAAACAATTTTTTTTTCTTTTGAATTTTTATAAAAATAGTATTAAATTTACCATCTATGCTTCGTTGGTACAATAAGGAAATAAGACACGCTAATGTTTGCGACGTTGTTGTTGATTTTTTTTTTCTTTCTCGTAGAGTGGAAAACACAAAAGTTAAACGAGTTTTTCGTCTTGGATCATATAACTGAATAATTTGAATTTGTTTTCTCGGCGGTTATTATTCACAACCTATAATGAAACGTTTTTAGCGAATAAAATAACATGAAATTCACGTATAAAAAGCCGGGAGTAAAAACGCGTAGGGAAATTTCGTTTTTTGTTTTCCTGTATAAAAATTGTATTATTATTTTTTCGCGTTTAACGTTACCGTATTCGAAAACGTTTTCGAATTATTTCGTGTCACACTGTTTTGCAATACCTTATCGAAAAAGTTTTTACTCCCTGAATTAAAAATCCCGATAACAATACAAATAGGGCGTGTTACGTCCCTATTTTTAGGGGCTTGCGTTTAATCAATTTTCTCGACTTATTTATTCATAATTAGTCATGGTTTAGAAATTTGAGGCGGAACATTTAATGTTCATCT